AATGTGAAAAGAAAGAGAAGATTAGAAATGACTTGCGGTAACTGCGTTGGTTAATAAATGGCTGTATTTTCAGTTTGAGTCTGAGCCGGTGGTGTGAAAACAAGATGGGAGAACACTGATTCAGCTTCATTCACTCAATTGGGTTTTATGTTTTTAAAGGCAACAACAAAAGTTTGACCTACTGCGCTGAGGCTTCTGAGAAGGTTCTGACTACATAAGGTATGGTGGATTGCACTCATCAGAGAAAGTGCATTTTCTTAATAGTGGTACTATTTATATTACATCTATACTTAAGTTGATGTTTTAGCTATTGATATAGTACAGAGATTGTACACGTTAGGTTACGTGAGCATATTGTGGACACTCAAGCTGCTCATGGGGTAAAGTGTCAGCCCCCCTGCTGGTTAAAACCCGTTTGTGTTCCACAATGTTGCCACTTGCTGTTATAGGTATGTGGGAGGATTTTCTTCTTCCGGATGGATCATGGTAACCAGTGTCTCCCAAAGTGGGGTCCGCGGCCCCCGGGTGGGCCGCTGAGGTACTGCAGGTTGGTGTGGGCGGGGCGGGAGGTCATAACTAAAATAAAACAATAAGAAGGTAATTATGTGTTTGTGTGTGTGAATTCGATGTGTGTTATTGTTGGAAATATGAATTGTTGTTGGTTGGTGTGATATGTGAAAGTGTGTATTTGTGTTTCATTATTGTAGAGTCTGGAAGAATACGACCTGTAACATCATGTTGTGTTCAGTACGCTAATTGGTTTGTAGCAGAGGGCTATTCCCCCAAAATAAAATACACCAGAAGAGCCCTATTCTTATTGTATGTCTTCTTGGTTATTATATTTTGGGGGGCCACGCAGACCCGTCAGATTTTTAAGGGGGCCTCGGTGTTACTGAGTTCGGGAATGGCTGATGTAGACTATTGGTCCACCTAATTGTCCGACTTTAATCAATTTTTTGTCTGACTATGTTGAGATATAACTTTCGACACTACACAGACGCCATCTAACTGAGTCACTGCGGCTCTCATTTCATCATATACCCTTTTAAATTACCATTCCAACCAGTTTGAACGTTTATTTAGCTTAATTTAACAAGCATTTGGCATTGAAAGCTCCACTGCCAGGCCTCACCTGAGCCTGGTGAGGTCTCAAGTCTCCTTTCTTAGTCTTCTGTATCACTCAGGTTTTGGCATTAGAGGGTTCAACTTTGATTAATTTTTGTTCTATACCTCCACACCCCTCTGCGTGCTGAATGTAATCATTTCTAAAGACTCACCCTCCGCACGATTTCTGCCATCAGGGGGTATTGTTGTGTGTAACTTAGTGTTGCAGTAGTTGTGGTGTAGAAGTATCTTGCTATAGTTGTGCCTAGAATGTCATAGGGACAAAGTCTACACAGAGCGTGGGACATATAACGCACCCCCGGATCTTATCAAGCCAGCATTTTGTAGCGAATTCAGCCGTGTGAAAACAGGTGTGTAATATGTTGACCATTAATGAGTAGCCCCTCATGATCTCTTTCCCTTCGTCGGCCCTCTGTTCCTCTCCCCCGAGTCTTCACCGTCTGTATAACCTAATATTTTGAGTGTCTTTCCAAATGATGAAAAACTGTTCTCTCCAGCTAGTTTTAGTCTATTATTCTCAACATTTTAACCATTAATAATTATGTAATTTATTTGATCATCATAATATTTATGTATTTACACTCCTATAATACTCAGACAAGAGGCTTTCTAATGATGCCAGTCTTCAAAAACACTTCCATAAAGGATTCTTAGCTTTTTGAAACTTCTTATGGGCATCTCCATTAGATTTGGCTTGTATTGGTCTGCCCTGGGCTGCTGTTTTGATGCAGTTGTTGATGCACATTAGGGGTGTAACCATTCAGAAATGTCACACTCCTGTTAAATTCTTGACGCAGGACCCAACAATTTTGTTCATTTTTGTTGCAATGACACACAATAAAACATTTATTTCTGAGGAAACCATCTCTTTGTGCCTCTGCTTATATCTAGACCATTGTAGGTTCTATCACTTTTATATTAAAGGTGTATATATAGTAAGATTTTACCAAATTTTAGGGAAGAACCACCCCTTTGATGAGCACCTATCACCAGAATGATTGACAATTGGGAGGACCAATAGTCTTGATGATTCACCCAGTAGAAAATCCTCCTATATTCCTTCAAGTTAATTGTGTAAATCACAAACAAAACCACAAACCACAAAAGTAATATAAAGCTCCCGCCTTTATAATCCTTGTCGGAGAAAGGCACGTGACAAGTGATTTTATGGGCTGTTTTTACAGCATTCCCAACCCATGTCATGTTTGCAAACATAAATGTGTTGGTGAAAGTTCGCACATAAGTAACACAACATTATGAAGAAGGAAATGGAAAACCGAAAGTTGGCATTGTCTTTTGGGGTTTTACGCTATGGAGACATGACATGGATCCATCTTCCCAGACATTCTTGCAATTTTCTCTGTCCCCCCTGAAGAAAAGCAGCCCCATAGCATGATGCTCCCCCCACCATTTTTGAGTGGAGATGGTTCTTTCTGTACGATGAGCAATATACATATAGAACCTTTCATCCACATTTTCTCGGTATTCATTACTTTTTAAAAAGTAACCTGTTACCTTAGTTATTCTCTAAAAAAAAGTATTAAATGAACACTGCTCTCACTTGGGAAAACCGCTTTAGGACTTCTAACCCCAAGCCTCATATACTCGAGTACCTCAGCGTCTGCGCTAAAGGTCGTTGTCTTCTTCTTCATAAAAAAAAAAAGTCAGCCTCACTGGCGCCTGACTTTACCAGAGGCGTGTGGGGTAAAGTGCAACACTCCGATGAGCAGCGCGGCCACAGTCTCTTGCTTCACATTTACTGTGTTACATACCAAGTGGAATGAGAACTTACTGGGCACGAGTTGTGACTGATGTGCAGCACCAGCAGATGCGGGGTGCTGCTCATGGTAAAAAAAAGTAACGTTGCGGTGGATTGAAAACAGTGTTGCACTACTATGTTATACACCCAACACTGGTAGAGCACGACTGATCAGCTCAGCGGCGACAGTTATCTCAGGGTACTGGGTTGCCTTTCTGACCAGTGCTCTACTTGTTCAAACAGTTAGTTAAGGTGAACAGCTGTGTCCTGTGGCCCTCAAAGAACAGCTGTATTTATTCTGAGTAGATTACACACAGGAGGCCTATGTAATCTTTAGAGTGATGTGTGAACATTCATCCGCCATTAGGACTGCACTCAGGAAAAAGCTGCATAGATAAAATAATTTGACAGAATCGTGTTTCATTATAACGATTGGCCGTAGTGTGACATCATTGCAACGATCCATGGTACAATGTTGGTACACCCCTAGTGCACATGAACAGGCGAACATTAACACCCTGTCAAATTACTTTTCATGTGGTAGGTATTCTATCTTTTCTGTGAAGTTGTGACGGATGAATTTGGTCACCGCTAAATCGTAAGTCCAAGGACAAAAGATGCTCTCGGATTTGAAAACTGGCCCAAGCTCGCAGTATGCGCCAGTTCTACACCTTTGCATTTGTTGAAGAGATCGTTGTTGTTTCCCGACATTTCAACAGCCATTTCTGGATTTGCGGTGCCCACAATTGAATTTGCGAGCTTCATATTTAACCATGCATTTGTTCCTCGAGCTGATTTACTAACTGCCATCTTTCAGGACTTTTAAAGAAGCATTTTGCTTGAAACAAATTTTCCTGTTTTTTAAGTCGAAGACAGAAGATTCGTATACTTTGGTTTGAGTCATGTCTCGTAGACGAAGTCGCAGCCAATCGCCTGGGAATGCCAACCACCCGTGCAACAGTAGTGATCCCAGAGATCTGGAAAGGCGAATTTTTGTCGGTAATTTGCCAACATCTGAAATGACCAAGAAGGATTTAGAAGACATGTTCCACCCGTATGGAAAGATTCTCGGTCAGTAATGCTACAAGATTTACCCAACTTTACATTTCTGTGTTTCTTAGATGCTTCACACCTGGATTTTCTATCAATGTGTCATGAATTTGTATGGTTTCAGGCGTTTCCCTGTTGCGGGGGTTTGGATTTGTACAATTTGAACGTATTGAGGAAGCCGAAGCAGCAACAGGTTATAAGGGTCGATTGTTTAAAGGGTATAAAATAGGTAAGCCCAATTGGTTCTAAGTTTGCCATCTGCATTCGATTTAGGAGTTGGAAATGTTATATTTGAATGTTTGTCAATTAATAATGAATCAAACTTCATTTCTTTGTATATTTTGTAACTTTCTTTCTTTAAATGTTTGTCATGACAAGCCCACATTAAAAGTATGTGTTGCTACAGCAAATGAAGGATAATGAAACAACTTAGTGCTGCATTGGAAGAAAAAATGCATTTTGAGGAAATGTAAACAATTTATGGCATTTACTTTGTCAAGATACTATTATGCCTCTTTGAACACCAAAAGCAGACAGTTGCTTTTAGCTCCACCCATTTCCCATTTGGCTGAACTATGAATCATAAAATTAAACTCAAACTCGATCTATCACTTTTCTTTCCCACTGGCCCAGCACTGTTTAAATCCACACTTGAACACACAAAATCAATCCCATATTTAATTAATACTTCAAAATCTCAAACCTTGAGGAATGAGGAGTGCAAGTGAACAATAATAAAATACTGAATATTCTTGTGCAAAAAATGTGTAGTTGTATGTATACAGCTGAACATGTCAGCGGCTTGCATTGGGGCAGTACTAACAAAATTACAGGATATCCAAGAAAACAATGAGAACCTCAGAACTTGCCATAACGTCAAACACAACGTAAATGACAAAGAATAGATCCTTACTATTCTGTGATTTAACAGTTCTAGTAGTTCCAATGCCGATTATTTATATATATATATAGCTGTTTTACTCTCATTAAACCAATTGAATCTATGACTATTTGACTCCATTTTCGTTGTTTATTTTGAGAGAATTGGAGAGTTTTGCTGCTTTTTGAGCCTTGACCATCGATTTGCCGAAGCGTGGAGTAACAAGCCCATTTTACCCGGATGCCGAGAGTGTTGATGCAACTCCTCACTTCTGCTACGTGAACAAACCATTCATGTCACTGTTTTCATCGTTTGGATTGATTTATTTTCAGATGTAAATATGGCCGTGGAGCGTCGAAACCAAAAAGCACATCAGAGTCCCCCACGAAGGTAAAGTAAAAGGGTCTGATGGACCTTCCTCGTAGCTTGTAACTTGGACAAATTCTTGCGCGTCGACACTTTACAAGATACTTAAGGTTTATTATCAAACCATCTACAATTTGTGTTTCAATAAAATCAATAAAAGTTAAAGTGTTTTGTATTTAATGTTTTTGGTAGAACTGTAATCTGGGCCTGAAAAGGCTCAAGCATTAATGTGGAATTGTGATTCAAGATTTTTTCACCAAAACATTTACATCGCCGCCGTTTACATTTCAATCCACGTTCTACAAGTTCTGCGTCAGCTGGAGGAGTGTGCAGGAGATGCGCAATGGAAGCTTGTGATGTCACCAATAACAATTTCTAAGATCAAAACAATCATGCGCCGCGTCAAACTTCAGGTTAAAGGTGACGGACGTCTCTATTGGAAAGTGACCCGAACATGTGGAAACTGAGGATGGTATTTCCTCTGCTTTTTAGACGTGTTTTACTCATCGAACGCAGTTATATGAACTTTATCTAGGGAAACCAACATTTTTAAGTCGGTTTACACATTTCTCTAAACTTGTGTGCTAATAATTAAAATTAACTGTTGGTCTAGTTATTCCTAAATGAAAAGGGTGATCATTGTTGGTTCTAATCCACAAAAAGGCACCAACAGGAGTGGAGCCTGCGGCTTAATTTGACTCGAGACGGAAAGGATTGACAGATTGATAGCTCTTTCTCGATTCTTAACAGAACAGGGCAAAATATATTCTGAGAAGGGTGAGATTTGTATCTTACTGAAGAATCTTGAGGGGAAAAAATATAAATTCAATAATCTAGCTGCGAGTTTGTCTTCTAAAGGTGTTCTTCCTCCTCCCAGGCCTTTCAGTTCCTTTGACAGAGAGGCTCGACCTCGGTCTCGTTCGCCCAATTTCAGCCGCGAGGTACGTGAGCGAGACGTCAGGGATAGCCGCTCCAGCCGGGACAGCTTCCGCGGCTCTGAGAGCCGAGACCGGTGAGTTTCACGTATGGTTTTGACAAAGATCTGGGACGCCAAATATTCAGCCTTACATTACATTCCAGGGATGAATTTGAACGGCACTATCGGCCCGCAGACGACTACTTCCGCAGAAAAGAAGATGCTTTCAGGGACTTCAGGGATTCTAGGAACGGACGCCGTGAACTCGAGGGTATGGCACGTTTGTTATTGTTAGAATTGTATTACTCTTTCGAGTAGGGCTGGGCGATATGGCTGAAATCTATATCACAATATAAGTGAGTCATTGGTTGATATCACTAATTATTGATAAATATATATATTTTTAAACGTATTGCATTTGTTGTGTAGGCTAACACGTTAGTTGCACATATTTAGTCACAGGGGATTTAGAACTCAGGCTGGGGCATATGTTCACATGCACAGTGTCTCCCATTGTCAGTCCTGGTTTAATCCTGGATTTGCTCCTGTTTTGGCCGTTATCGAGGTTTTTTCAGTGTCTAGCTGCTCGCTTGTGTCCCCGTGACGGCTCAGGGCGGTTCTCTGATGGCCGCGCGTGCTCCCAGAGGAAAACGTTTATCACGTCGCGGTACCCACTGCCTTTACCGCGGCGCACGTGCTATTCCTCACACAGACGTGCATAACCGTTGACACAGCATTGAAACACGACTTTAGATCCACGCATGGTCTGCTTGTTGATTGTGGGTCTTTCTTTTTTTTGCATTTCCCAGAATGCCTTCATGTGATTCATATAGATATACATCTATCTCATTACCGCTTTAATGGCCAGCCCTTTTTTCAATCGGATTGTTATTCTCTTTGATTGAAACAGCGTCTATCACAGAGGAGCGACCAGAGGAACGACGGCGCAATGAGCTGTACAGACAGTACTACGAGGAGCTGCAGCGACGGCAGGACTCCGAGCGGCCAGTGGACTGCTCTGTCATCGTGGTCAACAAGGCACAGAAGTGAGTGTTTGGTTTTAATAACGGCTAAAGGCAGAGAAGCACCAACTCAAAGCCTGGAGGAATTGGAAAGAGCTGGGAAAAAATTGGTTTTGTTTCGATACATTGGAAGTGCTCAGAGTTTGCGTGTCATGTTGGGAATGGTCGGGACAACTTGAGCAGTCGCACAAAGTTGTTGAGTTAATGATTCATGAGTCTTAATGTAGGAGTAGTCAGTGAAGCAACAAGTTCTCAGGCAACCTGGGCCAACAAGAGTCAACAGAGCAATTGGCTGTTCCAAAGCTGGATGGTTTCTCTGTGCCATTGTGCGCACAGGCTGTGGACAGTTCTAAATATTGAATAACGTTATATCCATTTGAGTTGGCCGAGACTGCATGTGAAGTGGAAAGACTAGGTGGCTTGAACTTTCCAAAGAAGCTAAAGCATCTAAAATAAGGATGTTCAAAGAATAAAATGTACAGCCCTGTTTAGAGCCTAGTGACCCTGTGCTTGATGTGAAATGAAGTGTAACGTGTGCCTGTGACCCTCAGTCGTGAGTACGCAGAGACTGTGGGGAGGAAGGTGCGAGACCTGGGGATGGTGGTGGACCTGATCTTCCTGAACACTGAGGTGTCACTGACTCAAGCTCTGGAAGACGTGGGCCGCTCCCGCACGCCCTTCGCCATCATCATTACGCAGCAGCACCAGGTGCATCGCTCCTGCACCGTCAACATCTTGTTTGGAACTCCCCAAGGTACGATTCACAAGCTTCAGCTTCAGCAGTGGAGTCTGGGGAAAACGATTAAAGATTAAAGCCTTTTCCATTGTTCTTTTCACGCAGAGCATCGTAACATGCCGATGCAGGACGCCATGATGCTCATTGCCCACAACTTTGACACTTACAAAGTTGAGAACCGTGACAAGGAGCGTGAGGAAATTGCCAGGAAAGCGGCTAAAATGGCAGACGATGTTCTGCTCAGGGATCCAGACCGAGAGGCTCACCCCATCGCTGCTCTCACTCCCATTACGCTTCTAAATGAAAACAGGTCTTTACCTCATGGTTCTGTTCGTCTCTTTGACAACAGATTAAATCACTCTGAATCTCTGTCCACAGATATGTGACTCCAGAAGAACTGGATATTCTCATCGTGTATCTGAAGGACAAACGGGCACGGCTCGTACGGTCTGCTGTAGAAGCTCTGCCAAGTATGTTGAAATGTTAAAGCTGCATATACATATAAACACGTAAGTGAATAACCTGTCCTCCTCAGCGTCTGCTCCTGCAGCTGCCCCACAGCCCCCTGCCTCTCGTCCCCTGGCCCCGGCTCCAGGAGCTTCGTCCAGTTCCAGTAACCAGCAGGAGCTGCAGGCCAAGATCCTCAGTCTGTTCTCCAACAGAGGAGCAGCAGGCAGCACGCCCCCTGTAGCTGCGGCGCCAGCTCCGAGCTACGGAGCTCTACCCCCTTCTCACGCCGCCCCACCCCTCAGTGCCCCAGGCCCTCACCCATCTGCAGCTCAGGGCTATGGGCCACTGACCAGCCGCGTCCCCCCCTCTGGCCTCAGACCCCCCAACCCGTCCTCCGGGATTAACTTCGACAGTCCTAGTGTGCAGAAAGCTCTGGACACTCTGATCCAGAGCGGACCGGCCCTGAACCACCTAGTGGCTCCAGGGGCCCCACAACAGCACCCCCCTCCACGGCCCCCAGGCATGGGGCAGGTCCCTCCCCCCATGTCCATGTACCCTCGCCCCTACTGAGGCCCCTACCTCTGGACTGTTCACTTTCCGCGGTATCTTGTAGGACATGTACTTTTGGTTGAGTTGGGCGCCCTCCTCTGAAGAGGCCAATCAAGTCTGTTTAGTGAGTTTTAGTTTAAAGTGACATTAACCTTTATCAATAACCATCGCCCAACAAAGTGATGCATGACTTTTATTTTCTATTGGACCTTTACAGCGTTTGTTGTTTAACTGTTGATGTTTTTAATTTTTGAACATTGTTAAAAGATGAGAATAAAAACATACTCTGCTGTATTAAAATGGTATTGATTTATTGCATTTTGTGCTGACAAATCTAAAAAATGGAAAGGGTATCGCCAGAAGCCATAGATACTGTATAAGCATTTGAAATGTTAAAGATAAAACTACTTTTCCTCTTTTTAATGTACCATGAAACACAATAGAGAATACATGTTTTTATTTGTAATATTTAACTTACACTGACAAAATAAACACCTCCACACTAATTGTACTTATTTACACACAGACCCCTGATCCCTGCCCCCCGCCCATCAGCAGCACGATGCACAACACACACTCCCACAGAACTCAGGAAAACTGCAGTTTACCATCACACGGTGCAGTAACAGAAGTGTCCGATGTTTTCATGGAACACGACTCCAGTGAACTTTACACGTTCTTTTTTTGTAGCTTTACTTTTGCGTCTGGCAGCTGAACTATCCTTTAGTCAATCAAATTCTTTTTGAACATGATTCACTGGAGCAAATACTGCACTCATTGATACTAAAGCATACCACGTTGTTACCATGAAAGTATTTTGGTACTGATACTTATTGTCTTATACAGTGAGTGGCCAGTGAGATTACAAATTATACTAGTAAAATAAATATTCTAACTCAAGCAAAAAATACCACAGACACTCAATACATTTTCAATACACCATGTTCAGGGTTATCGCATGCATGCACTGAGATACAGAACCGGACCATGGCTCTGAATGGACAGCACTAGACACTTATGAACCACAGCTATCTGGGACTCAGAGCATTCTAAGTTCTGAATGATGTTTTCTGACAGACATCCTCCTCAGCCAGGTAACCCATGTGTTTCAGAGCCCTTTAGTGTCCATGGATGGAGACTTGGTAATGATCACCGGCGACTTTGTCTCATGCTACAGTTGTGCAGGCGAACAATCGGATCAAATAGTGGATCAGAGTGGGAGAGGGGACGTGCTGGCTGGATGTCCCAAGTGTCCATGCAGAGCCACAGCCACATTTGGAAGCGCAAGTTTATATTCTTTGATAATTTTTCGAAAAAACAACACAGCAATTATTTGGAGGATGTTCAGGAGATGGGCTGGTGAGGGGTGGGTCAGGGTAGGCTCACCTCACAGATTGAGTAACAAACACTAATAAAAATGGTTTATATATATATATATATATTTATTCTTTTTGGGAAATGTTGGCAAATTTAGAAGTGATGCATGCTTTATGTAAATAAACACAATATGGCAACAGGAGAAGTTGGTAGGTCTGGATTATTGCAGTATAGAACTGCAGCAAAGGAACAGGGCTTTGCTTTTTCTTTGTTCCAAGTAGTAAACCCCTCACACACCACTAGAGGGCAGTCTAAGAGTGTGTCGCCGTCTCAGCCACACTGGGACAGATGCAGGCGGTGATGGCCCCAAACCCAATGGTAAAAGAATCAACTGGTGACGCCTCCAGTTACTGAGCAACAAAAGGGAGTACAATATTGCACAAAAGTGTACAACTAAGACGTTTGTCCACAGTGATGGAACAGTGCACAACAGAAGACAACAATAGTAGGTTACAGTGACTGAATATGTATTTACAAAATTGAAATGATGACCATATTTAAGATCCATCCATTCACAAACTCAAAGTATTCTACAACGGTAAATGAGATTATATGCAAGACTGAATTAGAACAAGTAACAATATAGTGACTCTATTATTTGCATGAGATTTGTTTTCAAGGTCGAGCCGTGAATGTGGCGCTCTCTCTTTCTCTCGAGTTTTCTCTATATACGTGTAACTCGTGTCTTTTCCCACTTTCACCTTGAACACTTAAGTCATCACTATTCACCACTGAAACAAATATCGCCACACAGTGCCATGCAAACAGCATTTATAAAATATTCATAATTCCATAAATAATATCATTTTTAATAAACCTTTCCAATAAAACATTAGATATATTTTAATAAATTTAAAAGGCTCAGTTGATGCAGGCAATGTAGTGGAGACAATCACAAAATAGCTCTATAGTTCGACTCGACAAGCATTGAAAGAACTTGGCACTCAGAAATCTAGGAGCGGCTTCTGATGGTGTCATAGGTAGCAATATTAAAAAATCTTCAACGGCAGATGGATATGTTTAGACTAAAATATATGTTTTAAGTATTTTAATATATCATTTAAATATGGAATTTGAGAGAATCATTTTGTTGGAGGAATACACACCCTCATAAGAAATATTGCAACAAGGACTATGGTATTTGTCAGCAGAACCCTGTCCAGAAGTCTTAGGCCTTTTGTGTACAGGTACAGCCTCTTCATCCCATTCCACCACTGATATGTATGTCTATACCCTTTTCACATGAGCTTTTATGTTGTTTTGTTTCTATTTACAGTACAAATAAATATAGAGACTAGCAGCATTCACAACGTATGGTCCAACATTCAAGCAACACTAAAACATTGAATCATTGAATATTGTTTTAAATATATCTAGAAACTATTCTGTTTTGCTTTTTTAATATAATATATACTGTGTGTATATACGTATTCATATTATTTATATATCTCTATATACTACAAGTGCAAATGACCAGAAACGGCTTCTCTGATTAAGAAACCAAGACTTAAATAATGACCTTAACATGACAGCGGTCCTTGGTCAGAGTGAGATGATTCAGAATTTATACCATGTACATATACAAAATACAATATATGTGTAAAAAAATAATGATCACATGAGTCCGGATTTCACTATTGCACATTTCAGACTCTAAAACCTCTGTGTCATTCGTCTGCAAAGTGGGACTCGGTGTGAGACCAGTCCAGAGGGAAGACCGGTCTCACCGAGTCTGCTGCATAGAGGTCAGTCTGGTGGACAGTGTGTTTCTGAGCGACAGACGCCTTTGTCCTTTCTACAGAACACTTCCATCGGCCTTTACTTAAACTATCTCTAACATTGGAGCAACGTTATTTAAATTTTAGATCACAGCCAAACTGCTTTTATATCTCTATCTGTCTGGCTGCAAAACTATGGCACGTGTAAAATTTGGCAAATCACTTTCACGTATCTGAGTCACAGATAAATGTATATACTTTTGTTCTGTAATAAATATAACTATGTGTTATTACTATAAATACATATTTGTTCTTTAGATGAAAACAAAAGGTGAAAACCAATAACATTTCTTACGCTTACGTTGCAAAGTGGAGGAAAAGTGCATGTGTGATCGGTGACAGGAGCCATCCATATAATAAATACATAAATAAATAACATTTAAAAACATGATTGTTGTGTGTTGTCCTTTTTCAACTAAAAGCTTATTTTTTTCTTCGAACTTCACAAAACACAGTCATACCAAACAGCTTGTACATTATTTACATGGTCCACACGAGGGCGCTGTCCTCTCCTGTCTCCTGTATTCTTCCACTATAGTAAAACTCACTTTTCACAGTATAAGTATGTGTCAATCTCTATGAACTAAGCTAGCCTCGGCATTGTTTTTTTGGCACTAACAGTGGCTACAGGAATGAACAGCCACTAACAGAAATGAGAAGTAAGAAAAAACACACGGCATTCAACAGAACGAGTGGATCACACACAAAGTAGAGGACGTCATGCTGAAGGAGTGTCCCTGGTGTTTTACGTTAGCGCTTGCAGCTCTAGCTTTTTCATTCACTCTCAAAGTCCTCTTCCAAGCTGGTGGTTGTGATGACGGATCGTCTTTAGCCTTTGATACAACACCACGTTTAAGACAAGTGGAGGTGTGTCCTCTTTAACCACAGGGGAACTGTCCGCAGTCTCCCTCGCAGATGCCGCATTTCATATTGTTGAAAAAAGAAGTACTGAAAAAGGTCAAATGATAACAACAACAACAACAAGTGCCCATGCATACTGTAAGTGCTCACACCCTCAGCCTACAGCCAGCCTTCACCGTCGCGGTGTGAGTGACGAAAGGAACAAAAATATACAGTATATTGACCAAAGAAAAGAAGTCTCTACACAAACAAATATAGGTAGCATCTATAGGTTGACCTGGAGCCTACAGGGGCTAGAGGAGCTGGATGGACAGTGGTGCCATGAGGCTGTTAGGGCAGAGGTGAGATGTGTGAGGGGAAGGAGGAGGTGGGGAGGAGCTGATGAAGAGGGGAGAGGATGGAGGGGATAGGGTGGAGAGGAGAGGGTGGAGAGGAGAGAAAGCTTTGGGTGCAGGAGGAGCTGCAGGGTTCTGCGCTGGGTTTTCAGGAGTAGATGGTGATGACTTCTCGGCCTCCGCCACGGACCAGAAGAACCCTGTTCAGACCCTCCGTGAGGACCTCCAGGAACTCCATGTCTGAAGGATAGGGTTAAAGAAACACGTTTAAAGCAAGAGTCCTTTGAAATAGAATGACAGACACTTTTTAGATCCCTGCAGCAGAAACACTTTCATGTACATCAATGATAAACTTTTCCTTCCATCCATCCATTTTCTACCGCTTATTCCATTTCTGGGTCGGGGCGGGTCGCCAGAGAGGCCACCCAGTACACATATAGCACCAGCCCCTCACTGATCCTCCTGCAGGTGGTGAGTCCACAGGAGGATGGCTGCTCTATGGCATAGCCTTGATCTTTCAGCGGGGACTTCAGGCAAAGTAGGGTTGAGTGTCTTGCCCAAGGACACAACGACAGCAGTGATCAGTGGGAGTCGTTGGAGAAGGTCTCATGGTGGGCTCGAACCCACAACCTTCAGGCTCAAAGGCCAATGCTCTACCAACTGAGCTACTATCGCCACCTGATAAACTTTTCTACAACAAAAGAGACCTCTGGGAACACCAGGTGCCACAGTGGGGCGGCTGCGGCTAAAGTGCCAAACCGCTGTTGTGTTTGGCACACATTACAATGAGTCTAGTGTGTGTGAATGGCTGGTGGTGGTGGGAGGGGGCTATGGCACATACTGGTAGCCTCCCTTCTGTCAGTGTGCCCCAGTGCAGCTGTGGCTGCAGTAGTAGTTTATCACCACTGTGTATGGAGTGAATGAATAATGACGTGTGAAGTGTCTTTGAGTGTCCAAAAAAGCGCTATATAAAACCCATCCATCCATCCATTTTCTACCCTTTAATCCATTTCTGGGTCAGGGGGGTGGCAGTCAGAGATGCCACCCAAGTCTCATAGCACCAGCCCCTCACTGACCCTCTGCAGGTGGTGAGTCCACAGGAGGACGGCTGCTCTCTGAGTGTGAGCATAGCCTTGATCTTTCAGTGGGGGCTTTGGGCAAAGTAGGGTTAAGTGTCTTGCCCAAGGACACAACGACAGCAGTCTTCAGTGGGAGTCGGTGGAGAAGGTGTAGAGGTGGGAATTGAACCCACGACTACTGTCGCCCCCTATATAAAACCATTCCTGGATAACATGGTGCCACACAAAAAATGAGTTAATTATCAACTAATTTTTATGATGATTTAAGTTCATTCTGACTGTGTTAAAACAAGATTTACCAATGGGACATATCCGTTTAGTCTTATTTCAAAAACTGTTTAACTGCTTTATTTTCTCATTCAAAGTGAGATATTTCTTGTATTATTTTGCTTTGTTCCATTGGCAAATCTTGTTTTAAGGCAGTCAGAATGTGCTCAGATTAAGATACATTTATCCAAATTTGAGCAATTTTTGACTTATTTTTCATCACTTTTTGCAGTGTGCTTCTCTTTTTATACATCATTCTACAGTGTATGGAAATATCCCCACTGCATACGTACACTGTGTTTGCAAATGTATTTAGCCCTCCATAATCAGCCCCCCCTGCCCTCCTTATCCCCCGCCCTCAAATGTAAAGGATACAGTTCTCGTCCCCTGTCCGGTTCCTGGGCGGCCCTGGCATGTTGAGCAGGACGAGTTTGGCCTCAGAGGACTTCTTCATGATGACCTCGTTGAGCCTCAGTGCCGTGTGCATGCGTCGCACGTTGGACTGGTTCCTGCAAACCACAAACAGAGGTCGGTCAGAGCTGGTTAGAGCTGAGGTCAGAGGTCAGAGGTCAGAAGTGAGTGCAGTTAGTGAACCAAGGAGAGCTGGTGATGACAGATGCCCGTTCACACGTGACAGAATCGTGTGATAGGAAGTCTGATACTTACAGGTTTTCCCATTCGCTGCAGCGTGAGAGAAGACAAACACAGGGTTAGAGAAACAGGCCATAGTTCAGACAATATTTGTAAAAGAATAAAAAAATAACAATAAAAGAAATAGAGGTGACAGCATTCAGCAGAACGGGCTCAGCATGCACTCATGCAGAGAACTTCACTATGTGTCATCAGCATCCGGGGACAACAGTGATGTCTGCTACTTGTATCGCACACTTGTGTAGCACACTTGTGTAATCAATGAGTGTGTCCATATACAGTATATACAGTCTATATTGGATGATCATGTGACTAATCAAAGTATTGCACACTTGTATTGCACACTTGTATCGCACACTTGTATAATCAGTGAGTGTGTCCATATATATACAGTCTATATTGGATGACCATGTGACTTATCAAAGTATCGCACACTTGTATCGCACACAAGCCGTGGGCTAAAGCAGACTCGGTCAGGGCACAAAAGAGAAAGTGCCGGAGGGCCGAGCGGAAGTGGCGCAAGTCCAACCTCCAGGTTGATTACGAGATCTTCAAAGATAAGTTGTGCGAGTTTAACCTGGTGCTACGTAGTACGTTTTTTCTGAAATGTTTGAAGGCTGCAGTAACAATCTGCATGTTCTGTTTGCTAATTTTTTCAATGACAAGGTTCAAGGCATCAAAATAGCGATAGTATCTTAAACAACATAAGATCATTCAGAGCACATGGTGTACATCTTTGATCTACATCCCACAGATCTGCTCCAAACGCTGAGAAGGGTGGAGAGCACTCACGGCTTCATGTTGAAGATGTCCTTCAGTCCTTCTGGTGTGGCGGCCCCTGGAGGTTTAGGGGCCTCTCCGTCACACTTCTCAGTCCAGGTCATCTGCACCTGTGTCCCAGGACTCTGCACCTCCTCTGGGGTGAGGGGCGTGGCCGGGGTGGCGGGGCTGGCGGGGGTGGTGTTGTCGTGGATCAGCTGCACCTGCGCAGGGGGAGAGACAGGGGGAGAAGACTTTGACTATGAAGGAGTGGGGGACCATGTGGAGATACATGAACATCACATGGGAACGAGTCAGATCCAGGAAGAGGAGAGACATGGGAGGAAGAGGAGCGATGTAGGAGGAAGAGGAGAGACGTAGGAGATGTTTGAGAAAGGAAGGAAACACAGGCATCGTTAGCAAGCCTCAGACTGACTGCAGCTGGGAACTTTAGAACCATAGACCTTAGATCAAAAAATAAAAAATAAGAACATTGGTTGTTTTCCTGAGATAATAGATGATGTATTTAATATGTCTTGGTTGCCCATAACCATCCATGCTGCAAGTTGAAAATAATACAAATTAAAAAATCACTTTAGGGGCCACTAAAAATGGTTTTACAAGCCAGATTTGGCCCACGACCCTGAATTTAAACCTAGCCGACATTTAACATTGGAAAAAATACACTACATACATTAAAATCCATATGTGTCTCAGCCCCGTTTAGACAGAGACTCTGCAGAGATGCAGCAAAGCAACTCGCACAAACAACCAGGCTCCGTAGTCGAAGTTCACAGCGACTAAACAAAGATAGAAAACCATGTAGTTCTAGCGCCCAGCCAGTAGTGGGCAGAAGAACTTTACAACATGACACCAGTATACCCAGCAGTATAACCACTTCCTCAACAACATCCTCCTCAGGCCACAACAAAGATGTGAAATATTGCATTTAACAGCAGCGGCTAAAATGGAACCTGAAACTACAGCTTAACGTGGTTTAGTTTGAAAGGACGAAGGAGTAGAATTATCTTCAGTGTAGCGCTCGAAGCACACGTAGAATTAGTTGATCTGCCGCCATTGTTGTTTACGTTTCTTCTTGGCTAAAGCGCATGTACAAATGTAGGTGAGGGGAAGTGACGAGGTAATTGCAGACAAGGAATTCACTCCTTTTTCTTCACACAGATGTGAAATAACCCCCCGCTGTGTAGCATGTCTGTTCTGTTCCACTCTGGAGGACAATCCGATACCCAACTCTATCGTATGACTGTGTGAATAAGAGCGTCGGCCTGTCCAAGTCTTGTCTTGTGTCTTGCCATTGGTCTTGCCACCAGTACAAATAGATCAATAGATGAACTGTGATTGTAGATTTAAACCAGATACCACTTTAGTTATATTTAGTTATAGTCTACATTGATCCAGATATAGCCTCGACATCAGAGCCTGTGTGTTCTCAGCTTCTCACCTCCTCCTCGGGCTTCTCCTCTTTGCTGGCAGCAGGCGGCTCCTCGGTCACACTGAGCTGGGTGGTGACTGCGGCCGGGTTCTTGCGGCGGATAGAGCCACGGGACGAGTCGGTGATGCTCTGGATCTGAGGTAGAAAGTATTAGTAAGAGCCTCATCTGTTGCCCTCCCACACCCACACAATGCAAAATATTTTTAATCATTTCTTGAATCGAGTGGCTTCTATCTTATTCTGAGAACATTCTGACTTTCTTAAAACAAGATTTGCCAATAGGACAAAGCGGTTTTGTCTTATTTAAAAAATTGTGGCTTTATTTTCTCATTCTAAAGGAGACATTTTTTGTGTCTTTTTAAAACAAGATCATTTTGTGTTTGGCATATCTTCTTTTAAGACACAATAAGATACATTTAGCTAAGTTTGAGCAATTTCTTTTGTCACTTTTTTGCAGTGCACTGTTATAAGTCCAATTCTGCGTCTCCTCAGAGGGCTCCATGAAAGCGGCCAAGACGAGTTTGTTTGTTTATCTACGGCATGAGGGTCCAAGGACAGTGGTGATAATCCAGGACACTCGACGTTCAACAACATTTATGGACATTGGTCATCTGCACCTTATGGACCAATGGCTCATGTGTTTTTATCATTGCATTTCTTAAAGTCTGATTTATTAGAGTAATGGCGCACCTCTCTCTCGCGCTCCGTCTTGGTCATCTTGATCTTCTTCAGCATCTGTGATCGTTGCTCCATCACCAGAGTCTTCTCATAAGTGTAGGCTGAGATGTCACTGTCTTGCTGCAATAACAAGTGCATACAGTAAATATACAGTGTTGTAGGTATTCTGCTGTAGTCAGGCTCCAATGTGCAAAATATATACAGTAAACACAGCATTTCATTTTAGCTGCTCCGTTCCACATGGAAAATGTGCCACAAACTCTACGATTCTGCTGAACTTTTATTGCTGCGTTATTGAATGTTTGCTTGTTGGTTCTGTGACTGTGGTTCGGTGACATCACAGACAAAGAGACCAGAGAGAGACCAGAGAGCGTGACAGAGAGAGAGAGAGGGAGACCTGTGAGATACCAGAGAGACAGAGAGAGAAAGACAGAGATAGAGAGAGAGACGAGAGAGAGACCAAAGAGAGACGAGAGAGATGCCAGAGAGAGGGATCAGCGAGAGACAGAGAGAGAGACCAGTGAGATACCAGAGAGAGGGACAGAGAGTGAGACACAGAGAGAGAGAGACCAGTGAGATACCAGAGAGAGAGATAGAGAGAGAAAGACACAGAGAGAGAGAGACCAGAGAGAGACGAGAGAGATACCAGAGAGAGACAGAGAGATATCAGAGAAATGCCAGAGAGAGGGACAGAGAGTGAGACACAGAGAGAGAGAGACCAGTGAGATACCAGAGAGAGAGACAGAGAGAGAAAGACACACAGAGAGACCAGAGAGATATCAGAGAGAGACAGAGATACGAGAGAGAGAGACCAGAGAGAGACCAGAGAGAGACCAGAGAGAGACCAGTGAGATACCAGAGAGAGGGACAGAGAGTGAGACACAGAGAGAGAGAGACGAGAGATGTCAGAAAGAGAGACAGAGAGATCAGAGAGACTGAGAGAGATACCAGAGAAAGACAGATAAAGAGACCAGAGAGGGACCAGAGAAAGAGACCAGTGAGATACCAGAGAGAGGGACAGAGAGTGAGACACCGAGAGAGAGAGACGAGAGATGTCAGAAAGAGAGACAGAGAGATCAGAGAGACTGAGAGAGATACCAGAGAAAGACAGATAAAGAGACCAGAGAGGGACCAGAGAAAGAGACCAGAGAGATACGAGAGAGACCTTCTTATATAGACATTTTTATCAACATTCATGGACATTGGTCTCTCTGTAACTATGCAACACTGACATTGCCCCACTGTGCCACAAATAAAGAATCTCTTAATCTTAATCGTATAATCTTGTTTATGTACATTGGGGACTTGGCACATGTATTCCAGTGTGGTCTAACTGTGATTGGCAAATAAACTGAATCAGAATTGACTGGAAACTCAATCTTCCTTTTCTGTTCAAAACAACAACGTCTCAAATATTGATGGTACCATTTCCACGACTTCCACCATGGCGTCGATCCGGAGGTGATAGAGGAATGTGGTCAGGTCCTTCTTCATCTGAATGCTGTTGTCGTCCATCTGAGCCACGGTGAAGATGCGCATCTTGCACTTCCTCCAAACCTACGACACAACAGGTTTGGAAGAAGACACATAAATGAAAATACGAGTGAACTATTTATGGGAATGATAAACTTTGAAAATGCATCGTATTCTACTGTAGATGAACTGTTTAACTCTGTCACCTCTAGTGTTTTGAATGTTCTGGATACCGTTGCCCCTGTGAAGGTTAAAATAGTGAAAAATAAGCAGAAGGCGCCGTGGGCTAAAGCAGACTCGGTCAGAGCACTGAAGAGAAAGTGCCGGAGGGCCGAGCGGAAGTGGTGCAAGTCCAACCTCCAGGTTGATTACAAGATATTCAAAGATAAGTTGTGCGAGTTTAACCGGGTGCTACGTAGTACGAGAGAAAGGTATTTTTCTGAAATGATTGAAGGCTGCAGTAACAATCTGCGTGTTCTGTTTTCAACAGTTAATAGATTAACAAACCCCCCTGTTCAAATGCCATTAGAGCTAACTTCCAAACTTAAATGCAATGAGTTTGCACACTTTTTCAATGACAAGGTTCAAGGCATCAAAAACGCCATTGTCTCCAATCCACAGATAACAATCCAACAGCCAGAACGGCTCTCTGAGCTGACTCACTTTGCACCTGTAGATGATAAATATGTCCAAGAGATAATCTCCAGTTTGAGCTCCTCCACATGCAGCCTGGATGTACTACCCACTAGATTTCTGAAGTCTGTTCTGAGCAGTCTGTTACCTTCACTCACACAGATAGTAAACATGTCCCTTCATTCTGGAATATTCCCAAAGGCCCTGAAAACGGCAGTCATCAGGCCCCTGCTAAAAAAGAGCAGTCTGGATGCCACTGTACTTAACAACTATCGTCCCATCTCAAATCTGCCATTTATGGGGAAAGTCCTTGAAAAAGTTGTCTACCTACAGCTTATTAGATTTCTTATAATCAACAACTCATTTGATATGTTTCAGTCCGGCTTTAGACCCCACCACAGCACTGAGACTGCTCTTGTTAAGGTTACAAACGATATCCGGCTGAACACTGACGCAGGCCAAGTCTCAATCTTAATCTTGTTAGATCTAAGTGCTGCCTTTGACACCGTCGACCATGAGATCCTCTTACAGAGACTAGAGGACTGGGTTGGCGTCGCTGGCACCGCCCTAAGTTGGTTTAGGTCTTACCTTGAAGACAGGAAGTACTTTGTGGAGATTGGAAACTGTGTCTCAGATCATATGGCCCTGACCTGTGGAGTACCACAGGGGTCGATCCTGGGACCTCTTCTGTTCAATCTCTACATGCTGCCGTTAGGTCAGTTAATACGCAGAAACGAAGTGTCCTATCATAACTATGCAGACGATACTCAGATCTATGCCTCACTGACTGCAGGAGAACATGGACCAGTGGACTCACTCCTTCACTGTATCCAACAGATCAGTGAGTGGATGCAAAACAACTTCCTTCAGCTAAACGCAGAAAAAACTGAAATGATTGTCTTTGGTCCCCAGAAACAAAGAGAGAGCGTCATCTGTCACCTCCAGTCTCTCTCCCTAAAACCTTCAAACAAGGTCAGAAATCTAGGGGTAATACTGGACTCAGACTTAAATTTTAATAGCCACATCAAATCATGTTACTGATTTGATGTGGCTATTTACCAGCAGCTTTTTACCATCTAAAAAACATTGCCAGGATCAAAAACATAGTGTCTAAAGCAGACCTGGAGATTCTTATCCATGCATTTGTCTCCAGTAGGTTAGACTACTGCAATGGCCTGCTCACAGGTCTGTCCAAACAGGCTGTAAAACAGCTGCAGTACATTCAAAATGCAGCAGCTCGAGTCCTGACTAGAACCAGGAAGTACGACCACATTAGTCCGGTCCTCAAGTCTCTGCACTGGCTTCCTGTGGCTCAGAGAATAGACTTTAAAACAGCTCTGCTTGTGTACAAGTCTCTCCATGGCCTCGCACCAAAATATATTAGTGACATGTTAGTACCATATGAACCAGCCCGGACTCTGAGGAGCACAGGGACTGGACTCCTGTTAGTGTCCAGAGTCAGAACTAAACATGGGGAGGCTGCTTTTCAGATTCATGCTGCTAAAATCTGGAACAATCTTCCTGAAGATGTGAGACAGGCCTCCTCTCTGACAATGTTTAAAACCTGGTTAAATGTTTAAAAACCAGGTGATTATTTATGATTTTAATGCTTTCTTGTTTTGTTCAGCACTTTGAGTTGCCTTGTGTATGATTTGTGCTATACAAATAAACTTGCCTTGCCTTGCCTTGCCATTTCAGAAGGTTTATGCAAAGGGACGGAACATTTCTGGGAATTTTGGGAATATTCCATAGCTGGGAATGAATTGTAATGTAATGAAATTGTTGCATATTGAAGTATAAATATAAACAGAAGGATAGAAAAAGATGTATTCGTAAAATCCCCAGAATATCATCAGTTTAATGACGCGTGGTCGAATGTCAAAATGTCTCAGTTTTCTCGATCTCTTCTGTATGCAATGCTGATACGTGGCCAGAAGGGGGCGTGGGCTCAGTATCCACAGTGAGTTAAGTGTATTTGATAGAGGAATTACATGGATATTCAAGCGTGTTTGTTATATTCAAGATTATGCTTCAAAATACTTTTTACTCAACTGTATTTAAGTTCCCAGAGAAGAACCAGCCTTCATTTCAAACCTTAACCCTATCCTGTTTATTCCAATTATGTCCGGTTCATTTCCTTAAATTCCCATTCATTCCCATGAAAAGTTTCTATCTTTGAAAAATCCCAGAATATTGCAACCCTAGGATTTCACCATCACAAAGTTCTATGTTGGAATAATCAACTGCAATTATTTGTAGATAAAATACTCTTTTTTAACATATTTACAGTCTTTTTGCAGACCCAGTGATCATATCAGTGCCAAATGTAAAATACATTTCTCCATTGTGAGATCAACAACGTTTTGCATTATTGTATCTGAGTTTTCTATCACTATTTACCAGAGAGAGACCAGAGAGAGAGTGACCAGAGAGAGAGACCAGAGAGAGAGACCAGAGAAAGACCAGAGAGAGACCAGAAAGAAACCAGAGAGGGATCAGAGAGAAAGGCCAGAGAGAGACCAGAAAGAAGAAAACAGAGAGAGACCAGAGAGAGAGACCAAGAAGAAAGACCAGAGCGAAAGATCAGAGAGAGAGAGAGACAAGAGAGAGACCAGAAAGAAACCAGGGAGAGACCAGAGAGCGAGGCCAGAGAGAGAGACCAGAGAAAGACCAGAGAGAGACCAGAAAGAGACTAGCGAGAGACCAGAGAGAAAGACCAGAGGGAAAGACTAGAGGGAAAGATCAGAGAGAGAGAGAGATCATAAAGAGAGACCAGAGAGAGAGATCAGAGAGACTGACGAGAAAGAGACCAGAGAGACCAAAGAGAAAACAGGGAGCGACCAAAGAGAGAGACCAGAGAGTCTAGAATATGTTATTGTTTATTTGGTCGTGTGTTATTTACTCCATGAAGAAGCTGGCCGTGTTGTTGTGTACCTTGTGCTGTCGCAGGAGGAAGGGCAGCAGCATGAGCATGCCTCCATCATGGACGATCCACCACACGTCGATGTGGCCCTCAGTGAAGCGCTCTCCATTGGACGGAAAGGCAGAGATGTTCTTAGGCACGAGCAGAGCCAGGTCAGCGGCTGTGGTTTCTCTGACCAGCTCTGTGGAAGAAACATCCCAACATCAATGCATCATTACAGCTGTTTCTGTTCCAACAAACCCCAGTTTATGGATGATCCAAAACTCAATATTCGATCCCAGGCCCTTTTTGTTTATCAATGGGATTATGATTATTTGTATATTCTATTTGTTTTTCTTGTTTGGCACACTGAGTGAAAAAATAAAAATAAAATATGTGTCTAATATGGTATTTGGAAAGTTGCTTTGATCATGCTAACAGGTGTGCAAAGACGCAATAAAGTATTAAAAAAAGGACTTGATTTTCAACTAGGGGCGACAGTGGCTCAGTTGGAAGAGCATTGGTCTTTGGACCTAATGGTCATGGGCTCGATCCCACCACGACCCATGTCATCTGCTCCCACTGATGTATGCTGTCGTTGTGTCCCTGGGCAAGACACTTGACCCCACTTTGCCTGAAGCCCCCGCTGAAAGATCAAGGCCATACCTGCATTGAAGGAGAAGCCATCTTTGTGAATTGGGTGGCAGCTCTGATTGCCAACCCCGTGACCCAGAAATGGATAATAAAGGGATGAAAATGAATGAATGACAGATGTTCTACGACCAATGGCTCTATGTGGTTTTAATCAATAATTTCCTGTGTTTGAACTGTTCTAACCAGGTCCCACCCTGCTTAGCTTCTGAGGTCTGACGGGATCTGGCTTTCACATGCAGGTATGGCCAGGTATAGAACTGACCAATGAAGTTCCTCCAGTGCTGGTGCTCGTCTCCCTGCTTCCAGTTGCGCGGCCATGACACCAGCACGGCGTTGTGTTTGAGGCCCCCCAGCCCACTGGCCTGGAGCAGGTGGGACGTGGCGTCTCGCAGGTTTGAGGAGACGGTCACCTGACAGAAGCCCTTCACCTTCTCTGTCTCCATCAGTTTACGCAGAGCCTAAGACAAAGACAAGGAAGGATCATGAGTCAGGGAGAGAATGAGAGTAGAGACTCACGGCTGAAGACCCACTCTCTCCACGTTTTTGAATATATTTTATTATTTTGTATTCATTTATTTCAGGCAATGGAACAGATAAGTTCGAGGTAGATAAATAAAGTCAAGTCATATAGAGCAAAACGATAAGGACAAGAAGTGAATGCACAGTATTTACTACGTTATAACAAGTTATGACATTGCAAATAAGTTCTTTAAAAATGAGAGAATGTAATTTTCTGGATTTTTTTTTAGGTTTACCCATGATGCAAATTACAGGCCTCCCTCATCTTTTTAAGAGGGAGAACTTGCACAACTGGCGGTGGACTAAATAATTGTTTGCCCCGCTGAATATACAGTATGTCATGTGTCATGTGTATACCAGAAAGAGACCAGAGAGAGAGACCAGGGAGAGACCAGAGAGAATGAGCAGAGAAAGAGACCAGAGAGAGACCAGGGAGAAAAAGCAGAGAAAGGTCCAGAGAGAGAGTAGAGATAGACCAGAGAGAGGACCAGAGAGAGACCAGAGAGAGACCAGAGAGAGAGACCAGAGAGAGGACCAGAGAGAGACCAGAGAGAGGACCGGAAAGAGAGACCAGAGAGGGAGACCAGAGAGAGACCAGAGAGAGGACCAGAGAGAGACCAGAGAGAGACAAGAGAGACCAGGGAGGGAGACCAGAGAGAGGACCAGAGAGAGACCAGAGAGAGACCAGAGAGAGAGACCAGAGAGAGGACCAGAGAGAGACCAGAGAGAGGACCAGAAAGAGAGACCAGAGAGAGACAAGAGAGACCAGGGAGGGAGACCAGAGAGAGGGCCAGAGAGAGACCAAGCAGAGACCACATAGAGGGAGACCAGAGAAAGAGCCCGGAGAGAGGGCCAGAGAGAGACACCAGACTAAGAGACCAGAGAGAGACCAGAGAGAGATCAGCGAGAGAACCAGAAAGAGAGACCAGAGAGACACCGGAGAGAGGGCCAGAGAGGGGACGCGAGAAACCACAGGGAGACCAGAAAGAGACCAGAGAGAGATATATGTACTGTATGTATGTGTGTATGAACATTAGAATGGTGTGAGTGAGTACCTGGTCTGCGCGCTGAGCCCGGTCGTGGTTCTCCAGGTACGTTCCCTCCAGAGCTGTGCCCACGATGGTCAGACCTTTGCCGGCCTTCAGCTGGTTGGTAAGGGAGAGCAGACGAGGCTGCTCTATGTTCTGCTCTGCATCTGTACTGACCAGCACCAGCAACTGAGGCCTGACGAGAGAAGATGGGAGAAGGGGGAGAGGGAGGAGAAGGGGGAGAAGGGGGAGAAGGGGGAGAAGGGGAGAGTGAAAATAGAAGGGAGGAGATTGGAACAGGAGTAAATGAGGCAGAATGAAGAGTCAAATTAAGGCGTCAGAAAAGAAATGGCTGAGTGGCCCAAGTAAAAGTACTAGTGGGAAAGAGAGACAGAAACAGAATAACAGAAATGTTGATGAGTTCATGTGAAGCTGTGACGGTGACATTTAGAGAAATGGAATCTGAAACCAGACAGTGATGGTACCTCCAGTTCTTGGTGTGCGGCTGGCCTTCCTCCAGACGCATCAGAGCGTAACGAGCCGCGCTCAGGGACAGACCGCGGATCCCGTCTCCCCACTCTTTCTCCGCCCTGGAACAGAACAACACATTCAAACTGTGTAGATACATCATCAACAGGACTCTTGACCACCACACTGACCACCACAGACCGCCAGACGGACCACCACACTGATGCTGTCTTTAGAGATACACTGGGGGTTTTCCAGGAGCATATTCCCAGAGAAGCTAAGAGTGAGGCTCTGGAATGGACTATTTCTGAATGTCTATTATCACTAGAATATTGTAGAAATAATTGTCCTTGTTTAAATACATAGAAACAGTTAATGTAAAGGTATTGTGTTGAAATACGTCTGTTAACAGGGAGCGCGTGAGATCCCAGGTAGTGTGTGCAGCCCCTGGTATATAACTGAAGTTTTTTGAAAAAGCTGTTAGGGTCATTTCGATCAGCTGCAGTCTGTCTGTGCCGTTTTTCCCGTGGTATAACAATGACCATAGAACTTGGATTCTATAAATAAATCAGGGGCTTTAGATGAATTAATAGATCACATCCATGCAGCACCACAACCTTCCCGTCACAAAGCTCCACTTGTTCTTTGTCAGTACATAGAGTAGTAACTGCATGATGTCAGCGGAATTTTGTAAATCTAGTCATTACTGAACTGGAAAACAGCTGGACATTTTATTTTTTAACAGTTCTTTCAGAAATATTTTCTTTCACATAAAGATGTCATCCACTCGTTCACAACCTGACTTCTTACTTTTCTGACTTTTTATCAAACTAGTTCTGGAATGTGTCCTTAAACATGAAGCTGAAACACCTTCATCTAAAACAGTGAAACAGCACTTTACCTGCAACAAAATGTAGGTATACAACTACACACACACACACGTACACACACCGGTGCTAATCCTAAAGGTAGTGAGAGAATCCAATCTCTTCAGGGTTGCACTCCACTCACCCGGCAAACTCAATATACTTGTAGATGGAGCCGGCGATCACCATGGCAACAATGGCGTAGTACCAGGAACACAGGAACATCAGCGTGAGGCACAAGCTCATTCCCAAAAAGGAGAGAGTCCTGAGACAGAGACAGGAAGTCAGAAGATGTCTGGGAATGACACGAGACTCACATGGCAACATTAATTAAAGTGGACATATCGTGTTTTCAAATAATTGATTTTTACATCTAAATCATTAATTTGTGGCCTATATAAAGCGTAACTGCAATGCCTGGGTCTGAGTCTCATTATCTGTAGCTCCACGGGCCTTTCTTCTACACCTGTTCTGAGGTGCGTCTGAGAGCAACCTGTTTTGGTGCTGTCTCTTTAAATGCAAATGAGGCGCTTTTGACCACGCCCCCATCCAGGTGACACAGGTTCAACTCCACCCCGAGTGGCCATTTTTCTAAGCACAGATACAAGCACATTTTCTAAGCACAGATACAATTATCTGATAGAAACTTCACATTACATCGCAAACATGAAGCAGTCCTTCCTCATTGACTGAAAGCAAATGTTAATCTTCATTCTTAGTCCAGTCTTATTATCGACTCTTCTCTTTTTAGCTTTGGGATCCATGCGCACAGTCTATGATGCTCACACGTCGGTTTGACAGACACATTGACAGAAATGTTTAAATTGAATATTACTTATGCACAATTTTACAGCATTTAAAAACGTTAAGAACGTTTTTCCTTCTACAGAAGGAAAAAGACGCATGCGCCTCCGGAGCCGCAGGTTGCCGACTCCTAGTTTATACAGTATGTGGAAGCAAATACTGTAGAGGATCAGGATATGTGCAGTTTCAACAATAAAATAAAATGCAATAGTCTACATTACAAGAGAGTAATAAACATGTCTCAGAGTGAAGGAGGTGGACACGGACAATACTATTGTTTGTTACAGGGATGAGAATTGGTCAAAAAAGACTGAAATGCAAATTGTCAGCCATTTGCTGGCTCTAAATCTGTTTAATTTGTTCACAACATATTACTTTTGGGCTCAAACATGAACTTTTAATGCAATGCAAAATGTAGGTATCAGAGCTTTATTTAGGGCGTTTAATCGCGCTTCGAGAGGAGAGGGAGACGCGGACTGTTTCCTGCAGCAGTGTATTTATGGTGCACAGATTACTCGAAGACACGCATGGTCCTGTGCGCGTTTATGGGGTTGGGTACATGGCCACGTTGAGGCTGCGCGCTCAGCCACAATACGGTGGAGCGGCTGCGAGCGGCTGGACGCTCACAGCCTCTCGCAGCCGCATTACAAAGCGGCCGCAGATGCCCCGGAACACTGCGGCCGCTGAGGTGGCGGAATCCCGTTCGAGTACATACAGCAGATGCCCCGCGGATACGCGCGCCCGCTCCAACAATTCTCAACGGATTTACACTTCTCATAAACATGTGTTTTATATGAGGCAGACAGACCGGCCCAAATATGGGCATTGGCCCTTTGGGCATTGCCCGGTACGCCCGATGGCCAGTCCAGCCCTGTGCGCTGGCATCCTTGAGCTTGAACTACAAATTCGAAGTGATGCACAGTAGAGGAGGGCTGGGCCGAAGTGTTTTGTTAGACGCCCATGCCCTTATATGGCAGTCTTGCTGCAAATACTGTGACGTAATAATTCTTAACACGTAATAGAGAATGGCAAAACCAGAACGGGTTGAAAAATCTTACCTAAACAGAATATGAAGTGTTCTCTGCAACCCATGAAGAGACTGATTTCAACTTTTTTGCACTTCTAGAGGCTCCAACTACACAACATAAGGCATTTAAGGCACAAAAAGTGGATTTTTCATGATATGTCCCCTTTAAAGTAAAAGAAAAAAATTTCATACGACTTTAACGTATTCTTAAAATGTATGATTATCATTTTATTAATGTTCAATTTAACATTCATTTTTTATTATTTTGGTGCTTTTGTTTATGTTGTTTTAGTTACATTTTGTCTTGTCAGGACCACAAACATGAAGATTTTTTGCCACCAGTTTAAGTAACTGGTTAAAAAATATTTCATCAAAATCGTTTGTCATAGAAGCTAAAAACAGTCAATGAGTTAAGAATCATTTCCTTTTAGCCAGCATTATTCTAACAGTTTAGGTTTTGCCCACCTGGGGTTGCTATGGTGTTGCTATGCACCGGTTTGATAATCGGTTTGTGGAAGTTTAAGGTGCATTTGCATTCAATTCAATTCAACTAAAATGTTTTCACAGAACTCATAGAGCATAGAACATTTATATTGACTATAAAAATAAAATATAATATAAAAACATATACAAAGATAAGAATTGCACAGAAAGTCAACCTAAAAGCCAAAGCAAAAAGATGAGTCTGAACCCTTCAAGTTTCTGCCAAAGTAGCAGAATTAAAAGTAGCTAAAAAAACAACTCTTAAATCCAGGGCAGTAAACAGGCAGTGGCTTCCCACAGATATCTCTCATTTTTTTCTTACATAATTTTCTTCTGTGTATTTCTGTTGATGATTAAAGTAGTCCACTAAATCCTGTTAAGTCACCTTTGGTCTATTGAAAAAAAAAACCCACTGGTGCTAAAGGAGTGACTTGAAAGAAAGAAGTGAGTCCGCCGGTCTAATATGCAGAGGCCGCTGCAGACGCACAATCCCCTCTCAGCTTCTTTCTGGTGTCACAAATCTTATCTGCACCTACGAAAGCGATGACTTTTGAGAAGATTGAGTTTGTCTTTTGATCTACGTTAGCATACGCCACCTATCCACCTATAACAGTGTAATGCACAGTATGTTGGATTTTGTTTTACTGAAAGACCATAACAAAGATTTTGTTATTTTAAAAAAAAGTTCAGAAGCGAAGAAACACGGTACTAAATGACTGCACCGTTTGAATGAAAGCTTTCCACTATAACTATAATAAAAACTACAGTAAATGCACCAATTACTGTATATTTTTCCTATTAACATAGACTTCAGGTTAAACAGGTACCAGTGGTAAAACTTGAAGCGAGGTCTCCAGTTGGGGGTCCGCAGCAGAGTCTGAAGGGCACAGGCCAGGTTCACAAACATGTAGCACATCAGGAAGAACCTAAAGAATACAGACGACGAGTCAGTTTAGTATGAGTCTGATCTGCTGCTTTTTCATAATTTGTTGTTTCTCAAGTTCATGTGTATAATATTTAATTAATAATGTTGTTGGAAGGAGGCAGAGCTAGAAAGAAGCACGCTGAGAGGCTCAACTGGCTCATGAGGAGAGCAGGAGGGGAGAAAGGGGGAGAGAAGGGGAGGGGGAGAGAAGGGGAGAGAGAGGGAGAAGAGAGAAGGAGGAGAGAGGGAGCAGAGAGGAGGAGTGAAAGGGGAGAAAAGAGGAGGAGGAGAGGAGAGAGGAGGAAACGAGGAGGAGGAGGAAGGAGAAGAGGGGGGGAGGGAGAAGAGAGGGAGAAGAGAGGGAGAAGAGAGGGAGAAGAGAGGAGGAGAAATAGGGGAGAAAAAAGGAGGAGAGGAGAGAGGAGGAAATGAGGAGGGAGGAGGAGAAGAGAGGGGGAGAGGGAGGAGAGAAGAGTGGGAGAAGAGAGGAGGAGAAAGAGGGGAGAAAAGAGGAGGGGGAGGAGAGGAGAGAAAAGGAAACAAGGAGGATGAGGAGGAGAAGAGAGAGGGGGGAGAGAGGGAGAAGAGGAGAGAGGGAGAAAAGAGGTGGAGGAAGAGAGGGAGAGCAGAGGAGAGAAGAGGAGGAGACAGAGGGGAGGAGAGAGGGCGAGTAGAGAGGACGAGGAGAGAGAGGGGAGAAGAGAGGAGGAGAGAGGAGGAAGAGAGGGGAAGGAGGAGGAGAGAAAAATATCATGAATATTGTCTTGCATTGCCTTCTTATAGACATGTATTTATTGCTATACCTTTCATGAGGATTTTTAACTCTATTATTTATTATTATTCTGCTGTGTTTGTGCAAATGGGAGCAAGGGACTAATACACAACTTCCTCAGGGATCAATAAAGTATTATCTATCTGTATCTACTCATCAACATAGCAGAAATTGAGCAGACATTGTCCATTTGGTCCGACCGTATTAGCATCTGCTCAGTAGCGTCACTTGCAGCGTGTGTGGTAGTTGATGATATTTGTGTGCGTCTCTGGGACAGACCGGCCCACTGCCCCTTTCCTGCGTGGAGTTAATTCTCGAGTCTTTAAAAACTTGGCATTTGCATTGTTTCCGAAGTGGCAGGGGGCTGGCTGCTCTGATATCTGTCACTGCGGGATGAAACGATGGAGGAGAAATAATGAGTGTGTTTGGGGAACTCACATGGAGAGGATGGGAGCGACCGCGTCCAGGGAGGCAATGAGGATCCCACTCTCACAGATACAAGCTGTCAGCAGCAGGGACCATGTGGGCTCACCATTGGCCTTCCCATGGCCGAAGATCTGCAACAGGCACACACACACAACAAGCACGCATACACACAAACACACAGACAAAGATACAGACAGAGATACAGACAGACACACAGGCAGATATAGAGACACAGACAGACGCACACAAACAGAGAAAGACAGACACACACACATACAGCATACGTTTGAGTAACTTCTTTTGGACTCGAACATGACAAACATACAGTAAAAGTGTTTGAGTATCATTACAATATTTGTGCATCAGTGATATTGATATTATGGCTTTTTCGTTCTGTAGAATCACAATATTATTCAAATCTACATATCACAAAACAGACCTGCTGGTTTTAGATCCATCCACACTCATGGTAAATAAAAATCGTTTAATGAACATTCGACTGCATAGGACCACATAGGACCATCTTTCGTAGCCTTTTCCATCCACATTGATATTGGGAACATGGACATGGTGGTTTCAAGGTTTAAGTAATGTATTTGAGTGTGTCTGTATGTCTGTGTATTATGTATGTATGCATCTTTCTCTGTATATATGTATGTTTGTATATAATTCCTGCTGTGTTTGTGTACTCATGTGATCCTCAAATTACATATTTTAAATCATAAAGAATGTGTTTTTATCCAAACTGACCCTGAGGGCAGGCACGATCCCGTCTTTGGCGATGGCCTGGAGCAGACGGGGAGCTCCGGTCAGACTCTGCAGACCAGCTCCACAGGTGGAGAAGAAGGAGCCGATCACAATGACCCACGGTGACGGCCACGCCAATGTGCCAATCACCAGGTTCCCATGCACGCCTTCACCAAACCTGCATGGGGGAAGACCAGGCTCAGAAACACGCTCAGAAACATTCAGTCAGAGTCTGAGGTACTCACTTATCCCTGAGGACCACACCCTCGATGCAGGCTCCAAACAGGATCACACTGCTCATGTCTTGGCAGGTAATGGTTAAGTAATATATAGTCTTATGCATCTACAGCGACAGCACCAGGTACAAAAGACAGGACTAGCAACATCCATCCATTTTCATCTTCTTAATCTAAGAGAATCCTCCAGCAGGTGGCGAGTCCGCAGGAGGATTGCTTCTCTACTCTGTGTTTTCAGCAGGGGGCTTTGGGTAAAGTAGGGTTATGTGTCTTTCCCAAGGACCCAATGACATACAAAAGCACCAATCGTGATACAACAGAAACAATAATACAGAAGCTAAATCTAACATCATATTCTTCCCTCTTACTACCACCCACATTCACCCTCAACATCCAGCCAAAAACATTTGGTTACCGTTCATACCCAGACGAACCCTTGCATTCACAACCACTTGTCACTTCGGTATCGCATTGGCGTCACAGAGGCAAAGTGGTTAGCGCTTGTGCCTCACAGCAAGAAGGACCTGCGTTCGATCCCACCTCCAGGCCTTTCTGTGTGGAGTTTGCATGTTCTCCCCATGTCAGTGAAGGTTTCCTCTGGGTGCGCCACTATCCCCTACCACTAAAAACATGTAGAATAAGTCTGGCATTACTGAACTTAAAAAGCATCAACACTAATTTTATAAGAGATAAGAAATATTCAAAAGACGGGTTAGAATAGGACAAAGCCTCTAGCTACAAGCGTTTGCAATCAAACTTTAAATTTTTCTGGAAAGAAATTATTAAATTAGGCCCTCAGAAAATTAAATCTATCCCAATGGAGATAGTTACAGCTAATGGAGAGGCTTTTTACAAAGGAAACCCGGTCTCTAAGTGAGTCTGCAGGGAGGGCTCTGGGCTCCATCGTGAGTAAAATGAAAATTGTACCAAATTTAAGTTTAAATTGTATTGGTTAGCTCTGTTCTAATCTATTCTGATGGTGTTTGGGGTTTTAAAGGAGATTGATCATGTTAATGCTCTCAGAATAGAGCCATTCAAACATTTTTGGGAGTGCACAAAAAATCACACCCCAATAGTACAGGGGATATGGGATGGAAGCCGAGTGTCATTAAGCAGAGTGCTGAAGTGGTGCGTTTATGGAATCGCCTCATCCAGCTGCTCAATCACAATTACCTCAGGTCTAGAGAAATGGCGGAAGTATTTTTTAAGTTCTCATTTAAATGATGTTTGTGTAAATAAATCAAAGTGTGATTTAAGTTTGTTTCACCAAAAGACGTTAACAGAGTTAAAAACACAATGGAAACTTGACGTTTGCAGGAAACCTAAGTAAAGACATTATATTCAATTTCAACAGGAGTTTTACACACAACTCTACATACTGTTAAATGTAACCAGAAGGTCTCAGTAAGCCCAGCTGAGGACCGGCACTTTGTCTCTGGTAGTGGAGCTGTTCCCAAAAAGGCCTGTATCTGTACAGTATGTGACCTGGGGTGGCAGAGGATGAGCCTGATTTTGTTTTGTATTTTCTACTTTACTTTAAGTATCAAAACATTTTATTTGAAAAAGTAAATCCATCTAATCCAGAGGTATTTTGGAGACCTGAGGGGGAAATTATGAACTGGATGTATGACAATGAAGTATTTGCTTTTGCTTCTTTTGCTGCAGAAGTCAGGGTGAGGAGACCTCAGACCTTGTATGAGATGAATTTATTGTAGATTGTTTTCTGTTTGCTACATGCGGTCTGTAGCCATCGGATGTTGTTGCTTCAGTGTCATATAAGCCCATGTGGGCTGGGCACTTTGTGTATGACACTTATAAATAAAATAAACTCAATCTCTTCAGTTGCATATTCTCCAATATAAACAATGAGGGACTCATTGTGACCTTCCACTTCCACAGAATAGACTGGTGGAAGATAATTATGTTCAGTGATGGAGAGTCTGCATGAGTGAATAGTGTTCAGAAAAACACAGATCAATGACAGAGCAGTGGGTAATGGCGATGCTTTATAAACTTGCCTTCGCAGCCCATTGATGCGATTAGAGAAGTCTTAATTAAGTTAAACTGGTTTAAACGTGATTACAGCGAGAAACATTCACAACACAATGGAGGCTGGAGCCAGAGACGTACAGAATCACATGTGCTTAAAGACAACACAGTAGATAACGTTCTGAATATTGATTACCAATTTATTACGGACTATATTTGCAATGTGTATAGAAAGTATTTGAAAGTATTGAGTACTAAAACTTGTATCGAAACTAGACACTCAATAGTCATACTGAAAATAATGACATAATGACATGTATTGCACCGTTGTGGTGAAGAGGGAGCAGCGTCTGTAGTCAGAGCTCTATCAGATCTACCTGTCAATCTCAATTACACGGGAGGAGCTCGGAGTACACCCTCTGCTCCTCCAAGTGGAGAGGAGGTTGAGGTGGCTCATCAGTTTGGGATGCTGCCCTGGGAAGACCAGGGACAAACCCAGGACAGAGAGAAACTATGTCTCTCAGCTGGCCTGGGAATACCGCAGGATTTTCCTGCAATGGGTGAGCTGGAGGAAAATAGTACATTTTCAACTGTATCAGAAGAACTTGTATTTAACAATGCGTTAAAACTGACATTTTATTGCGTAAAAAGAGGATTTATATTTTAAATTGGTGTTGACTTTTTTTTCTGGTACTTAAATTCAGTTGTAAATGTAGTGTGTATATCACCATCAGAATACACATATTTTAAAATACATATTTGTCTTATAATTGTGGCAGTAATTAAACAAAGCTCCATTGTTGAATTTAATTATTGAACTGTGCCCATAATCAGACTGGTATTGTGCTCTGTAATCTCACACATTTAATTATGACATTCTAATGACGAGTTTTTGTTAGAAGCAGGTGACGAGTACTTGACAGCCACAGCCACTATTTTATTGTTTTTAATTACTTGTGTGATTCTTATGTTTTTAAATTACTTATGTGATTTTAATGCTTTTTAATTACATATGTGTTTTTAATTGTATTTTAATGGTGATGATTTGTGCATTGTGTGGTGTGGACTGTGAGGCGCTTTGTGTTGCCCTGTGCAGGAAAAACGCCCTATAAATAAAGATTGATTGATTGATTGATTGATATGGAATCTGAAAGAGCATATTTGAACCTGTTTGTAGATGCACTCTGTTTGTATTCCTACAGAGGGAGGTTAAATGAGGGGAAGACTCACATTTCACATCCTAAAACAAAACACACAAAGATAAGTACAATTATAAAATACAGCGCAAACCGCACGTTTAATATGTTAAAGTGTTTTAATTATATAGTTATATTTTAACTTTGTCCTCTGAGAGAACTACTCCTGAGGCTACACAAAAATAAATGGTATTGAATTGAACCTTTGAGATGTAAAATGTTCAAGTTTTTAGACGGATTTTCTTTTTTCATCAAGCAAACCCCTAATAATCGTTCTCATCGGTAACTATTTAAATCAAACCAGGTGTTACCAAGATTTCAAATAAATGATAACAAACTACTCTCTTCCCCTCCAATAGACACATACTTACACTCATGCACCACACCACACTCACACATTTCATTTTGTACTTTTGTATTGTCTGTCTGTCATTTGTGTACATTGTCTATTACTTGTTTGTTTGTGTTGTTTGTATGTTTCTCCTGCAGGGGGCAACAGTGAGAGGATACAGACAATGGAGGTGGTGGTGATGGCGGCGATGGTCCCAATGGGGATGGACTTCTGGGCGTCACGCAGGTCTCCAGAGCGGTTAGAGCCAGCCATGATCCCTGCACACACACACACACACACACACACACACACACACACACACACACACACACAGTTCAGGTCACGGCAACACACAAGGGAAAAGTCTGGATCAATGGGAAAATCAAAAGCACTGATGTGTGCGTGTATATCTGTTTATGGGCTTGTGTGTGCATGTGTGTGTGTGTATGCATGTGTGTATCTGTTTGTGTGTTTGTGCATGAGTGTGCATTTGTTTGTGTGTGCATGTGTGTGTTGATATTGTTGTAGTCTTTAGTCATTATTTTTTCATCTAGTGTTATTTGACAAGGAAAGAGTACATTAATGATTAGATTACTGTGACTGTATGAGAATTAGCCTCAACCCAAAAGCAAGCAACCTACTATACATTAAATAGAGTAAACAAACACAAATCTGCTCTAGATAATAAACAAATGAAGTCTGCATTTACATGTGTAGCTCAAGGCGTCTCTTTATGCTTTCTTTTGCTGATACAACTCTGATACATGTAACTCTCCTCTGATCCGACCCTATTTTAAAGACACATCAAGCACCAGTGATGTTCTAGGATTTCGTCATTACCTCCACGCAACAGGCCCCGCCCCCAATTTCCCGAACCAATGCAAATGTGGACAAAAGGAGGAGGCGTGTGCAGGTGTATCTGGTTGTGTGTGAGTGTGTGTATGTTTATCTGTGTGTGAGGATCACCTGTCACAGAGGGGAAGTAGATGCCCACTAACAGCGTAAAGAAGCTGGTGATGTCGGCGAGCACGTAGCGGTTTGAGTTGGTGAGAGGGTCGTCCACATCCTCCGCGGACGCCATGTTGTCCCGAGCGATCAGGTTCCCTTTCTCATAGTAGTAGGGCATCAGGTTCTCTGGGGGGGGGGACACACACGGCAGAGGTCAACAAACTGCGGTGCGTGTATGCATACAGCCTAAAAACAATAATTAGAACACATATTTTCTAAATGACTAATGAATATAGATTTTAGAAAGTTAAATACCCAACTTATGCACTGGCTTATCTCTCTGACATCCATTTTCCTGATTCACCCCACAGCTTACAGTGTGGGGTGGAAAAAACAACAAAAACTGATATTGTATCTGATTAGAAATATCAATATTCATTTAAAAATAAAATCACTTTTACCCAACCCTAACGTATTCCCATGTCCTATTGTTAAAGATGGTTCACAGGCTGCAAAAGTTTCTTTATCATGCTAAAGCCAGATATTTTGTAGTTGCTTCTTTATAATGCTAATGTTAGAGATTTTATTTAGTAGTAGTAGGAGTAGTAGTAATAGTAGAGTTGTTGTTCATTTATTTTGTGCTGTGTGCTTCTCATTCCTACTGTTATGTAACCGGTGATGCAACACTGACATTTCCCGCTGTAGTTTCTGAACAAAAGATCTCTCTTGTGTATGAAAGTGCTCTGACCTGAAAGGATGCCGCTGGTGACTCCTGGGATTCCCTGGATCCGTGTGACATTGTTGGCGGCAAAGTACTTGTCGCAGGTGGCGTTGAGCAGAGGCGAGTCGCAGAACATCTGCCACAGCTGCGTGGTCACCGTCCCGTTAGCCGTCTCCACCGTCTTGGCGCAAACGTCAAAGGTTTTCGACACCAGAGTGCGGTTCCCCAGCAGACACACCCTGCATTCACAAGTTCATGTACTCACTCTCTATAATATAAGCTTTATCACTTGGGCTTCTCTGAGGAACACTACAGAGAAGCAATACAGTTAGCAAAGTTTTGTTTATAACACAGATGTCAAACTCATTTTGGTCAGAAGCCAAAACAAAAAAAAAGACAAGGAACTGGTTGAGGACGAATGAAGAAACAATTTCCTTTTTTAACAATAGTTTTTTTACATAATGATGGAATTTTGAATTTTTTCTTAAAACAAAATACGCTTTACTTTATATTTGATGCAGTTTTGGTTCAATCTCAACAATAAACACATTGTTTTACATATACTTGCTTCTATATTATGCTAAAGTTTGAGAGACACTTCTCAAGCAATTGTTATCTCATGTTTCATAATTTTCTGCAGTGGGCTGTAAATAACTTTAGCAAATCTTTCCAATCTACCCTCTTTTCAACTAACTCCATCAATAAAACTTTTCCCACAGAATAGACAGGTCATAGTCGTCTTGTTTGTGACTTTGGCGTTCTGTGGAGGAGCTTACGGGAAATCTGGAGGGTCAATGCCGGTCTTGATGACTCCAGCGTAGACGGCCAGGATGGAGAGGATGACGCAGGCCAAGAAGACCAGGGCGAGTTTGTTGACATACTTTACTCCGACAAATACTACGGTGGCCATGGAGGTCAGAAGGATGGTCCCATACACCCGCATGTTGTTGAGCAGAGCTGCCTCCGCCTCTGCCCCCTCCAGACCCTCCAGCGGGAAGATGGCGGCTTGTGGCACTATGTAAATCTGTAATGCACAAAAAGGTTATGCCAATGTCAATGTCAGCTTTATTTTTATAGCACGATAGAAACAACACCATCTGCCCAAATTTCTTCACCGGCACAAGGAAAATCTAACAAAAACAGAATTAAATTCACACAAATACAAATATGTGAAACAGTAGAACTCAGTTAGTGTTAAAAACTGAATATATTTTTTTTCCTCCACTGAACATTGGTAAATTCTTGAATCTTGAGAGAGTGATAAGGAAGAGACCACCATACAGAGATTACCATTCTGTCAGATATACAGGGGCTAATCGGTTTAAGCATTTAAAAACAAGCATCAGAATCTTAAAATCAACCTGAATGGGAGCCACTGAAGTGAGGCCAGCACAGGGGTGATGTGCTCTCTCACTATCTATCTACACATCTGTCTATAAAGTGATCTTGGGTCAAAACCACAGTCCAGCAAGTTACAGTAATCTAACCTTGAAGAAATATAAGGTGAAAAACTTGCTCAAAGTCCGGCCTTCACTTTTCTCCAGACTCAGAGCTGGTATGTGAGGTGACGTTTACATGTTTCTCATTAAAGTTTCATAGTGTTTTTACAATTCAAGGGCAGTTCTGTGAGGTGGAGATTGCACATTCCTCATCAGGTCGCCATCGTACCAGGGGAATAAGAACTGTCATCTTCGGGTCATAAACCTACTCTTCTGTATGGAGTTGAACACTTTTATTCATTACTGTTTGGAGATAAAATGGAGGGCATCGACTGGACAAAGAGGCAACGATCCTCATCTTTAGTTTGACAGTATAAACATAATAGAGAGCATAAAATAAAAGCTTTATTGCTCTATCAGTTGTCAGTGCTAAAAAAGAACACATAAAAGAACAAAAATTAGGAAAGTGGCACTAGAACGAGATAGCTACAGTATTATTAGAACAATAAATACATACTGAAATAGAATAACCCTGGATCTACAGCCTCTGTCTTGGATCTACAGCCTCAGTCCTGGATCTATAGCCTCAGTCCGGGATCTACAGCCTGAGTCCTGAATCTACCGCCTCAATTTTGTTTACAGAACTCTGTCTCCCAGACGGGATTACAATTTGTTCGCAAAAACTATTACAGCGACCAACTTTCAATGGTCAAATCCTGTTTTAATCCTGCAGGTAACGAGCACAAGGTCTTTTCAAATGAATTATGGAAAAGTTGCATTTGAATTTCTCCAGCGGAGCAGCGCAGCCTCCTGCACGCTATTTAAATTCACATTAATTAAAGAACTCAAGCATGGTAATAATATTTTTAATGAGGTGCCAATCTCTCACTTCTACTACGGTTACTGCTAAGAATGTTCCTTGCACATATAAAATGGGAAAGCCCTAATTAGCCCGTCAGAGTCTGTCATCGTTTCAGATGATTCACCGCCTGCCTCTTACATAACTGTGGGGTGTTCTGCTGTTTAATGATCAGCAGATAATGACTAGGTAGTAGCGCTTATTGACAAGTGGACAGCGGTGTCTGTGTTGTGGCTGGCTAGGCTAATGGGATGCTAAAAATGAGGCATATCATGAGGCAAACACATCACTGCAAATAGTTCTTGCTTCCTAAAATAGCAGCCGCAGCTTGTGTTCTTGGGTAGAAAGATGAAACGTATTCAAATTAGCCTTCACCAGATCCGCTCCTCACTATTCTTCCAGGATTGTTTTTTTTACAATGGGAAGACTAAGCTAGCGTTGACCCAGAAGACGGAATTAAATCGAGGGTAGCCATTGGAAGAAGTCAGAGATGGTTATGTAGCAGAGGGCAGTGTGTAGAGGAACATTTTACTCTGAGATTTAGTCTTCCACTAAAGCAGCACTTATCCAAATGTCTATCCAACTGGGAAGGGTTGAGTTAATCTTGTTTTCTACTGATCTGTATCTACTAATCAATCTTCTCCATGTTTATCACAGCATCTAAGGAAATCTGAGTCGGAAATATCTGCTCTTGGTTCTCTAAAAACAAAGGAGGAAGAAGAGGTTCTTGAGGTCTTTCCTTCCAGCTGCTGTCAGTCTGTACAGCGAACACGGAGGACTAACAAACACTGCCGGCCTGACCTCACATGTTGTGCATCTGTGCAATAATTCAGAATGTGCAATATAGAACCACATTTGTCCACTGTTACTTTACTTTGTCACTTTGTTCCATACCCTCATGCTGCTAACATGTACAGATGCATACATACAACTATATATTTCTTGCTCTAGAAAATGCAGTATTTTACAACTACTTATTTTTTATTCTAAAGTGAGAGATTTTTCACTCGCTCCTTGATTGTGTTCTGCTGTGAGAGGTGAGAGGAGAACATGCCAAAACCCAGTTTGTGGAATAAAAGTTTTCAAATGAGTCTACTCATTTGAAAACACTAATTACGCACAGGTGCAGACAGCAAAAGACGGTGTGTTTCCTTCACTGCAAGGGGAGACCGTTCTCCATGTTAATAATGAAGGGGTGACGTTTAGGCAAAGCCTTTGGATAACGTATTCTGCAGCTGTAGAAGTACATCTGAGCCTTCCTGAAAATGTGAGACAGGCTTCTTCTCTGTTCTTCTGTTTAGCTGTGCATGCAACTGAGGGATTATTTCCTTACTCTTTCTAATCTACCATGATTATTTATGATTTTATTGCCTTGCGTGATCTTGTTTGTTCAGCACTTCGAGTGGCCTTGCATTTGAACTGTGCTATACAAATAAACGTGCTTCTTCATAATGTAGATTCAGTACGAGCAATTATGGAAAGAACCGTCAGTAAAAAATCACATTTAGACACAGCACTGACTTATTCTCAGCAGATGTCCGCCTCAGTTGTGTGGATCCTTAAAACACATTTAATTGAAGCCTATCCAACAGTGCCAAGAGTAAAATATGGTTGGAACAATCTGCTTAAAAAAGAAATTAGCAGATCTAAAAAGCTCTAGGTTTAGTCTTGAAAGCATAGTCTTTTCCTTAAGAGAAATGATACAATGACATTCATGATCAGGGTCCTACATTTACTTTCATTCATCCATTTTTTGTGTGGAAGTAAGCTGTGGAGCAGAGTTTTACCTTCTCTTAACCTTTTAACAGAACTATTGCTGTGATGACGCTAAAGCAGAAATTCAAACACAGTGTTCCAAGTCCTCCCACTGTCGCTAGCGGTCAATCACACTAAGGTCAAGGTCAAGTTTATTTATTTCTAAGCTGGAGCGCCACACTGCTCATCATCAAGCTTCATATTGCGAGGAAGCTCCATCCAAGCAGCAGCTTCTATCATGCAGCAACCCTCCTCCTCCTCGTCTCCGCCTTGTTTCCGAGCAAGCTCTTTTATCCTTCTCCTAGCTACCCCGCCAGGGTTTAGGCCCTAAGAGATTTTATCTCATAATCCCTTCTGCACTCGTGCCGTGCTCTGCTGGGGTCTAAGCACCAAAATCTACCCACAATTCTGTGCTGCAGCAATAATTGTGATCTTGAAAATATTGTCCTTAGAGTCATACGTGTAATTTATGTAGCCTCAGATTACTGCCAACCAATATACACTTAAAATAATACCCATGTTGTGTCTTTTCCAGTCTCTCCAGGTTGAATTACTGTAGGTGTACCAAGAACCAGAATGTAGCCTTATCCATGAGGGGTTTGCATGTCAATACTGTAAAATCCTTAGGAGTATGAGATGGTCTCAGAGCTTGTCGCTGAGAGAGGTCTATAAAATGACTAACGTTCATTGTAATACATAGGTTTCTTTGGAGAGAGAGAGAGACGGGCTTGGGACCTGGGGGCTACTAATCTTTATCGATCTAAATCCAAGCAGGGTTTTTGCCCTGTAAAGATCAGAGTGGCCTCTCACCAGGAGCAGCTCGATGGCTCCCAGGATGTACATGGCACCAGCGTAGGTTGTCCCCAGGTAGAAGCAGATCCCCACTGCTCCTCCGAACTCTGGGCCCAGCGAGCGGGAGATCATGTAGTACGAGCCCCCAGCTGCAAAAAGAAAACACAACGGAGTCATTTATCACCGGAGAAATGTCAACGCTTGAGGAGTGTGAACAAGCAGGAGAAACCCAGAACAATAGACTACAATAACAATACGAATAATATTTGTAATAATGTAGTGGTTTAATGTAGTTTTTTTTTTCGATGCTCAAAGATGCTTCACAAGCCAAATCTTTTCTTAACACAGTCAGAATGTACTCAAATGAAGATAAAAACCACTTGATTCAAGCGATTATTACCTCATATTTTGAAATTTTCTTGCGGTGTAATTAATGTAGTCATTTAAGGTTATAGAAATGTTATTCAAATCAAATACATAAATGAATACAATTGAATTGAACTACGTCTTTACTTTTCTGAACGCCACGTTAACAATCGTTGGACTTAAATCTATTGGACTTGTCGGCACATAAAGGCAGTGAAAGTGCAGGTTTAGAGCTTGAGTGTGAGCGTCTGCTCACTCACCTGGAACTACACCATTGGTGGCAATGGCGCTCATGGAGATCGCAGTCAGCATGGTCTGGAGAGGCACAGAAACAAGGGATTAGCCCAACACTGTAATACCATAACACTAGAAATGTATAATCCCTAAAGAGAATTTTTGGCTTTAGAACTGTAACATTAGACACCTAGAAAAGAGACAAATGTGAAAATATTCAGAACCTTAAACTGTTGTATGTGCAGTAGACACCAGAAATGTACCTTGGTAAGAATACTGTACATATACCTTAAGATTAGATTAAAAAATCCTTTACTCGTCCCACAGTTGGGAAGTTTACACATGTACATACAGTAGTAGTAATTTTAAGAAATGTACCGGTAATGTATATTTTTTATTTATGCAATTTTGTACTACTTTTATAACTTGTTTGCAGCGAGAGCGAAAGCAATTTGCTCGTTTGGACTTCCTGTTACTCACAATGGCAATACAAATATTTCTGGTTCTGATTTAAGTGTTGCATCACCAGTTACAGAACAGTCGGAATGAAAAGCACACAGCGAAATAAGATAAAATCAGGTCAAAGTATCTCTGTCGACTTAATAATACTTTCCACAACGTCAGATGTTTAATTTCCGACAGTGAGTGATTTCAGGATGTTAATGTAACCTTGATGATTGTGTATTACAGATAATGTGTCATTTATGGTGAATATCTCATAAGACCAGTCTAAGAAGGATGCTGCACTGAAGTGATGAAAAATAAGTCAAATATTTCTGAAATTCTGCAAAATTTATCTTAACTTGAGGACATTCTGACTGCCTTAAAACAAGATTTAACGATGGAACAAATAAAAATTATCTGGTTTTAAAAATATACAAGAAATCTCTGCTCAAGTAATGAATTAATGAATTTAAGAGACTGACACTATTTTAAAGCTGGGATCGGCCTAACTAAACAAGACAAATAATTGATTGATTGATTTGATTGATTGATGTTCACAATCCTTAGGTAATGGATATACTTTTGTACATTGTTATTGGCTACTGTGTTATTGGCTACTACACATGCAAATATAAACAGTATACAATCAAGCATACAATAATAAAAACTGTATTATAATCTGTTCTGTGTTCTAATGTACTAAATGTATGAAAATAGTTCCTAGCTCTTGCTTCTATCACAAATTGATATTGACATCTTTACATCAGCTTTTTCAGTCAGAAAAGTGAAATAACTTAATATTAATTAATTGCTTAAACTATTACTCAACCATCCCCAGAAACACAAGCTGGGAAGGTTCTCTCTCAGTGACATGGGAGAATAACAAACACACAATCCTCTCACACACAGCCACACAGTCCTCTCACATACAGACAAACAATAAAATAAAAAACTGAGAAATAAGGACGTGGCTGAGTGGAGCTGACACACAGGCCTCAGCGCCGCGGAGCAGAACTGAGGAGACGGAGAACTGAAGCACGGATCCAAACGGCAGGAAGAGGCAGGAAAAGGCAGGGTGACGAGCAGACAGGCTGAGGAGAGAGAGCGAGAGAGGGGGGGGACCAGAGAGAAAGACCAGAGAGGGAGAACAACCAGAGAGAGACAGAGAGACCAGAGAGAACGAGAGACAGAGAAGAATCAGAGAGAGAGAGAGAGAGAGACCAGAGAGAGTGACCAGAGAGAGAGACCAGAGAGAGACCAGAGAGAGACCAGAGAGAGTGACCAGAGAGAGTGACCAGAGAGAGTGACCAGAGAGAGTGACCAGAGAGAAAGACCAGAGAGAGAGACCAGAAAGAGTGACCAGAGAGAATGACCAGAGAGAGAGAGACAAGAGAGAGACCAGAGAGAGAGAGCGAGAGAGATGCCTTTGGGTTCATACAAAAACATCTCCAATGGGAACTATTATTTGCATAGGTCTCTAACCTTTTCTTTTTTGCTTGACATCTATATCAAACTACATGTAAATGCAAAACATGGCGCCATTTTGTACAGCTGTTCCAATGGCAAAGCAAGGCAAGTTTATTTACAAGATAGAAGATAGAAACAGTCACGCAAGGTATTCAAGAAGTAAATAATTACAGTACATTAAAAAGAGTAAAGATAAAATCCCTCAGTTGTATGCACAGTTAAACAGAACTATTTTAACCTGTATTTGAACATTGTCAGAGAAGAAGCCTGTCTCACATTTTCAGGAAGCCGGTTCCAGATTTTAGCTGCATAAATCTGAAATGCTGCATCCCCTGGTTCAGTCCTGACTCTGGGCAACAGCAGGAGCCCAGTCCCTTTGCAACTTTAACAAACAAGTCTGCTAATCCTTGCATTTTCCTGCTTTGACAAAAACTCCAAGGCACGAAGGTTAAAGTCCTTTACTTATTCTTGGCTTATGAAATTTTAAAAATGTGTTTCAGCTCTTGCCTTCTTTTGGCAAATCCTGTTGATAAACCAAGGAAATGCATGCTGTGCAAGTTTTAAATGCTATGTTCTAATAGCATTTTCCCAGCTGCCTCCCATCCAAGTACTAACCCTGACTGACCCTGCTTAGATAAAGTGAAGGGCACAAATAAACTGTAACCAAATCTAAATATCACAATAATGCATAGTTGAATCTTGAATCTACTACTACTACTACTACTACTACCACTACTACTACCACTACTACTACTACTACTACTACTACTACTATGATGACAGGGGTAGCGGTCACACTTGTAACACCAGACTCATACGATGGATGTGGGTAAAGTGTCTTGCCAAAGGACACAACTTTAGGGCACCTTACAGCAGCACAACTGTTTAATGCAGCAGTTTCAGAAGCTATTGAAGCAAAAACATCTGGAAGAATGTACTTTTACTCTGGAATCACATAGAAAACAAAAGAAACGGTAAGCTATCAAAAAGTTAATATTGCAACGAGAAATTGAGTCTATAATTCAAAATGCTATAAGTTAATTGGACATAAATGTCACCTTGGGGGACAGAGGACACATCAGAGTCTGATGAGTGAGAACAACAGTCCTCTCTCTAATGTGGTCGTAATGAGATCCTCCCAACGGCTGATAAGACTGTAATTATTTAAGTGTTTTATCAGATGCAAGCCCGGCACTCGCCACCAGCCAGTGGTCAGAGTGAGATGTTCCAGAAGCAATCCAAGTTAGTTAGTCTCGCAATTAGGGTTAGAATTGGGAAAAATGTGACAATTTCATAGTGTTGCGATATTTGGGCCACAATTCAATATTATTGTGATTCTTAACACTTACGATACAGCCAGTATTGTGATTAAATTCTAAAATATGTTAGAATTCATGTCCCTCATATCATTCAAAGACATTACAAACATTGAAGAGAATGAGACTCAACTCAATAAGACGGACGCCTTATAGACAAGACATCATTATTCGCTCTCACATGAATGAGCTCCCAGCACATCACTTACATTTTTCACCTAAAACAGACTAGAGTCACAACAAACAGACATCATACAGGATCATAAACCACAGATGTAAATGACCAGAGTAAACTCAAAGAATACACTAAAGTGGAACAGATACAGGAATTATTGTATTAAATATCGCTATACTTTTCTCTACTGTTTCGATTTGATAATATCTCGATACTGAACAGATTTTATCCCCCATCACTACTTGCAATCTTGTATTTCTTTTTCCCACTTTTACTTTGCCCCAGTTTTATTTCTCTCATCAACCTCTAGCCGTCAGCGCAGACAGGGGCGGCGGCCATCATCATCCATCACAGGTGCCACAGACCACACAGTGTCGCCCTCCGAGCAAACATTCTACTCACTTTGGACTAAATCAGTGCAGTTGTAATGAAGAGATGCAGGACAGTAGACTGCATTGTGCCTCCACAGACCCAGAGCTTAAGGTTGGGTTAACTGTCTTCTCTGAGGCTCTCATGGCGTCTTTCATGTTCCTATCTGGCAGGTTTGACTTACTGAACAATATTTTATGATGGAACCCCTGAACTCGTCCTCCTCCATCTGCACCTGTGGACTCTCTGGACCGGAATAGTGGGCTGCACCCCCCCCTGCCCAGGAGCTGCCTCAGTCCTGGATCTACAGCCTCAGTCCTCATTCTACAGTCCTGGATCTACAGCCTGTGCGTCTGTGGGAGTAGATGCCTCCCTCAATGTGGGTCTCCCCAAGGTTCTCACTTTTCTCCCACTGGGTTTGTAGAGTGGTTCCTTGCTGATGCAGGAGGGTCCAAGGACAGTGGTGATGATCCAGGACATTCTATGGCTCTATGTGTTTTTTATTATTGCATTTCTTGAGTTTGAACTGTTCAATTCTCTGATCTGTGCTGGCGAATCAACGGCTGTGTAAAGTCCTCCGAGATAACTACTGTTGGTCACAGATTTATCTATCGAGCTATTCTATTCATCTACTTCTGGAACTGGTGCTGGAAGCTGTATTATCCTTCCACCTCCCAGTCCTCTGCACCAGACATTTATAGACCCACATCAGGCTGCTATTGGTACAAAACTCTCATTTCTAACTAGCAGGTTTCACTTGTACTATAAACAAGTCAAACGTTTATTATAGTGTTTAAATAGAACCCAGTGTCACAGGTGCACAAGCTCGAGGCACTTTCATTTGTTACTGGCAAATGTTAAAACCTCTAAAAAATGGGTCAGTATTTTGGGAATATGTCGTGATGCTGCTGAATCTGGACGCTCAGGCTCCAGGACAAAACAGAGGAGCGGACGTTCAACTGTAGGTGAAGCCTCTGAGGGAGAAACTAGGTCTGATCCCGATCCTGATCCTGATCCTGGTCCTGACTATCATTGAGACCTGAGCTGCACACTGTATTCAGCCTCTACCTTTATTTTAACAGTCTACTGTCGTAAGCACTTTTTCTTCTTGAAAAAAACTTGACTTGAGTCACATTTCTTTGGTGACTTAAATGTTCACTCCTCAAAAAAAGCAGTCAGTTTTTATATATGTAGGAGCACTTTTTTAAAGGTTTTTTTTTACCTCTAGTGTAATAATCGTAGGCCTTTAACATATGGTGGAGTTGGATAGTAAAAGTGCACAATAACTGTTGGTCACGATTATTTTCTGT